AAAAAAAAAAGAAACAAACCAAAGTGTTGCTATTATTGTTTTGGGGGCAGTATAATAATGGGTAATTTTCTCTTCTTCCTTCTCTCTCTTATCTATATACAGCTATTCTATAAGAATTAATAAAGGCCATAGATTGAGTGTAATCATTTTCCTTAATGACATATGCTAACAAAAACATAAACTTTTCCTCCTTTAAAATCTAATGCCCCCTTAAAAACCACTGAATGGTAGGTACACCTTAAACAGACGAACTCTGTGGTATGTGAAAGTAAGCTAAGAAAACTGTTATTGAAAACAAACTACTGGCCGGACTTGGTGGCCCACGCCTGTAATCCCAGCACTGTGGGAGGCTCAGGGGGTGGATCACCTGAGGTCGGGTGTTCAAGACTAGCCTGGCCAACATGGTGAAATTCCGTCTCTACTAAAAATACAAAAATTAGCCAGGCGTGGTAGCGCATGTCTGTAATCCCAGCTACTCAGGCGGCTGAGGCAGGTGAATTGCTTGAACCCAGGAGGCAGAGGTTGAAGTGAGCCGAGATTGTACTATTGCACTCCAGCCTGGGAGACAAACCTAGAAAAAAAATACCTACATAATGTCCCCTTAGCTGCCCTCCCATCCAATGAACTATGAAACACTTACCATATCAGCCAAAGAAATATACAAGAACATTCCTCCAGCCAGCGCAAAAATCCAGTTGGCAGAGAAGTGGCTGCCGGCCAGGATGCCAAAGGCCAAACCCAGGTAGCAGCAGCAGGCAGAAAGGAAGTTGAAGAAGAGAGCCTGCTGGATGCTCATCCCAGCGTTGAGCAGGATGACAAAGTCTCCTACAGCAGGGAGAAAGAGAAGGGAAGGAATGATGAAAGAAGAGTCAGATGGGCATGGTGGTGCACACCTGTAATCCCAGCTACCTGGGAGGCTCAGGTGGGAGGACGGTTTGAGCCCAGGAGTTTGAATCCAGCCTGGCAACAGAGTGAGAGACAGTCATACAAGGTCTTGGGAGACAAAGGGCACTGATGACGTCAGACTGCTAAAAGTGTGGGTGAAAAACAATCAAGACAGCCCCAGACTCAAGACTGAAGTGACAAGACAGGCCCTTGAACTTCCTGTTCAGACCCGTCTCCATTTGCCAAACTGGCCATGTACCCAGCCTAGAGGCTGAAAATCTTTCCCAGGATTTTAAAAATAGATGACCAGCTGGCACTGGCCGCCTCATTTCTCTCTGGATTCATGGTGAAACAGAAGGAACCCCCTTCCTCACAACTACCATGGAAACAAAATAGAGATTGCGAGAAGTGAAGTCATTTGCCCCAAGTCTCAAGTCAATACATGGCAAAGCCAGAACTTGACCCTCAGTTGTTCCTAAGCCTCTGGAGTAATTAGTGGCTTTTCACACACCCCCTCTGATCAAACTAAGCCCCTCATACCCTCTGGCTCATCTACCTGCCAGGCACCTGAGCCTTTGGAAGATGAACAGGCTGGAAGAGAGAGCCTTTACTGAGTGCTCAGAATAGCACCTGGCACATGGGAAGTCCCTTTCACCTTTTGTTTTTCTTTAATCCTCACCATAATTCTAAAAGGGGGTGCTCTTATTAACCCCACTGTATAGATGAGAACTGAGCCACTGCATGTGGTGCTAAAAGGAAACAAACACCTTTATAAAAACCCCATCATTTAAATTTATTTATTTATTTTTTTGAGATGGAGTCTTGCTCTGTCACCCAGGCTGGAGTACAGTGGTACAATTTCAACTCACTGCAACCTCCACTTCCCAGGTTCAAGTGATTCTCCTGCCTCAGCCTTCCAAATAGCTGGGATTACAGGGGCAAACCACCATGCCCAGCTAATTTTTATATTTTTAGTAGAGATGGGGTTTCATCATATTGGCCAGGCTGGTCTTGAACTCCTGACCTCATGATCCACCTGCCTCAGCCTCCCAAAGTGCTGGGATTACAGGTGTGAGCCACCACGCCTGGCTAAAATTCTCTAGTTGTTAAGAAATAGTGATTAGAGTTCATGAAGCTTTGGGGGCATGTTGATCAGTTACAATAAGCACTGTGAAGGCGGGGAGATGGGAGCAAGGAACCAGCCACAGGAAGGGGGCCTGCGCTATCACCTGAGGGAGCACCAGGAGAACGGAGGACGCACGCTTACCCAGCTCATGTGGGAACTCCTCACAGAGGATGGCCACCGAGGTGCTGATGCCCTGGAAAACTGACACAGTGAAGGAGGCACCGATGGCCAGGCCGTCGATGAAATTGTGGAGGCCGTCGCTCAGCGTGATCATCCAGGCCAGAGTGCCGATGTCAGAATAGCGGACACCTTTCAGCCAGTAGCAAGCACTCTGGGACGCCTGCAGGTCCTAGGAGAAAGCGTGCATGGAGTTAAAGGCTGGACCACGTGCCTTCAAGGTGAGCCTGAGGCACCCTTTTAGAGGCTCTACCAAGCTGCTGGTGGCCCACTGACCTGCACAGAGAGAGAGCCCACAACGACCTTCTCATCCACCACAGGCGCCTTGCCGTCCAGCTCGCTGTTGCAGTGCTGAGGAATCATGTGGTCCAGGTCCCCGTTCTGCAGCTTCTCCATCACCCCCTCTTCCTGGTCCTTCTTGGAGGGAAGCGTCTCGGAGGCATAATGGCTGTGTCCGTGGTGATGCTGGAGGGGCAGCAAGGAGAGCTCAGTATGACAGTCACCAAAACCACAAACCTGACCAAGCACCTGCTCCGAGGAAGGGCTCCATGCACTGGAAGACCTCAGCCCTACCACTGAAGAGGACACAAGCAGGTCACCTGCTTAGAAATGCTGCAAAAGCTGTTCTATGAAGCCGTGGCCAGGTACGGGGGCTCACACCTGCAATCCCAGCACTGCGGAAGGCCGAGGTGGGAGAACTGCTTGAGCTGAGGAGTTTGAGACCAGCCTGGGCAACAAAGCGAGACCCTGTTTCTAATATATACGTATATAAAGCCGTACCAAGTGCGAAGGACCTGGCGTCAGACAGATATCAAAGCTGTCGCCTCAGGGCAAATGCTTATTTCAGCAAGGCAGCCACTGCTCAAATATTTAGAGCTCCTTTCTTGCAATGGCTTATCTCACTCGATTCAGCAGCTATTTAGGGAATAACTGCGTGCCAGCCACTAAAGATATCTTTTTGAAACTGTATGGTAATAGTCAGTCCTGTTTCTCTGCAGTCATACTTCATACATAATGAATGTATGTTACCAAGCCCTTCTCCCCATCCTGTAAAAATGCAAATATATTAAGGAAATCATCTAGAACAAAACAAAGGGGATAAACTACTGCTGAGAAGGCACACTGGCCAGATCTGGTTTCTGGTCTGGCCTCACTTCAGGAGGTGAAATGGGATTATCTCCTCAAGAAATTAGAGTTTCACGAAATTTTTGATAGTGAGCTAACGCCATCACCACCACAGACATTTTCCTGCGATGGGTGCTTTCCCTAGAAGAGCTTCCTTCAGCAACAACTGGGCCTTACCTCATTTTTCTGCTTAAGAAGAATCTTCAAGATCTTCTCTGTGAAAAAGAAAAGATAAAAGCCCCCAAACACCACTGCAGACTTGGAGACATAATAATCTTCTAGAGGGTTGAAACCAAAAGCCTGTGGACCCAGGAAAACAAAATGAGTTTTAAAGAAGATAAAGCGTCTTCACTGGTCTCCTATCTCTTAACGACTTCCTTGACTCTAGGGGAGGAGACAGACGTACTGGAGGAACTCTGCCATCTACCCATCCTGTTTGCAGCAGAAATCTAGTCCTGGTGTTTCCCTGATTTGACATCACCAAACCCGCGAGGTTCTTCTCAAGTTTATTTGCTGATGCAAAAGACTGATCATCTGTAGAATTTTAATTCCAGAAAGAACAGCCTCTGATACGGTGTTCTACTTTTGATTTCTCTTGGTGCTTTGCTATGAAGGCATTCTCTGCCAGCAGATTTCATATTGAAGGAGCAGACACTTGTATTTATTTTCATCATCTAGTGTTCCTGGCTGACCTGCCTGTAAACACAAAGGGAGATGGGTAATTATACTTTCTAAAATGGGAAACCCATTTCTCGGTTAAATAAGAAGAACTGCAGTGTATTCCTGACCGCAGACCTCCCAGTGACCACAGAACCAAGAAAGCAGGCTGTGTCACTGTGAGCATCAATTTTTGGGTTTTGAGTCCTTTCTGAAACTGTCACTTACTGAAGAGGGAGGGGAGAATCCATTGGGAAGAGGACAGGAGTCGAAATCAAGAGAATTCTGTCCTAGGTTAAGCTCCTGCGTTATGGTGGGTTCTTGTGAAAGTGTCTAATGACCTGGCTGGGTGCGGTGGCTTATGTACTTTGGAGGACAGGGGTGGGTGGATTACTTGAAGCCAGGAGTTTGAGAATAGCCTGGCCAACATGGTGAAACCCCATCTCTATGAAAACAAAAAACAAAAAACAAAAAATTAGCTGGGTATGGTGGTACACCTGTAATCCCAGCTACTCGGGAGGCTGAGGCAGGAGAATGGCTTGAACCCAGGAGGCAGAGGTTGCAGGGAGCCGAGATCACGCCACTGCACTCCAGCCTGGGTGACAGAGTGAGACTCTGTCTCAAAAACAAAAAAGTATCTAACGAATTGCTCCTCTGTTTATTTTATTTTTTAAAATGTTCATGGGTGCATAGGAAGTATATATATTTATGGGGTTGTTCCTCTGTTTTCGGATGGGAAACAGGCCTTGAATGAACTCCCGCCCTCCCATAAATTGGTCCAAAATAAGAGTTGATCCCAACTTAAAGCAACTCTGGGCTGTTTGTTGTCTTTATGTTTTAAAGGGGCCGAATTTAATCACTACCTTCCAGGGAAACAACACTTTCGTGTTGACTTTCCAAGGGAGTCAAATCATCCAGGGGAAAAGTGAAGTGAAAATAGGCAACTAACACCTCTCTGCAAAAAGCCACAAAGGATGGTAAAGACAAAATCATGGCTTGAGCTTCAGAAATTCCAAAAGCTGGGTTCTAGGCTCAGGGATATATGTTCTTGTGCAGATCAGATCCCAATGGGTAAAACATTACTTGTTCTACCGATCCCTCAGAGTTCACCTAAGGATGGACTAGGAGAGAGCCAACTGACATTTTAGAAAACATCAAGTGTTGGCCGGGCGTGGTGGCTCACGCCTGTAATCCCAGCACTTTGGGTGGCCAAGGTGGGTGGATCACGAGGTCACGAGATCCGGACCATCCCGGCCAACATGGTGAAACCCTGTCTCTACTAAAAATACAAAAATTAGCTGGGCGTGTTGGTGTGCGCCTGCAGTCCCAGCTACTCAGGAGGCTGAGGCAGCAGAATCACTTGAACCAGGAGGGCGGAGGTTGCAATGAGCTGAGATCGCACCACCTGCAATTCAGCCAGGCGACAGGGCGAGACCATCTCCAAAAAAAAGAGACAACATCAAGTGTTGTAAGAGGCACATCGAGTCCTCTCTCTGCTTCAGCTGTGGTTCTGTCCAGGCCTGCGAGACCACCCACAGGGAGACGTCCTGTGCTTACTGTAATTAATGGGTCTGCTGAGGGGATTACACCAAATGAGATGAATCATCAGTTCCGTCTTCTTTTGTGGTGAGTTTCCCATGAACTTACCAGGCAAAGGTACCGTCAAGGTATGTAAAACCAGACAGTGTTTCATTTGCATTACCTTTGCCCCAAAACTCCCTATGGACAATCTTTTTACTGAGACCTATGGGTTCTGATGATGTGTGGGTTTGTTTGTTTGTTTGTTTGTCTTGAGACACAGTCTTACTCTGTCACGTAGGCTGGAGTGCAGCAGTGCCATCTCGGCTCACTGCAACCTCCATCTCCTGGGTTCAAGTGATTCTTGTGCCTCCCGAGTAGCTGGGATTACAGGTGCCCACCACCACACCCAGCTAATTTTGTACTTTTAGTAGGAACAGTGTTTCTCCATGTTGGTCAGGCTGGTCTCGAACTCCCGACCTCAAGTGATCCTCCCACCTCAGCCTCCCAATGTGCTGGGATTATAGGCGTGAGCCACCGCGCCCAGCTGATGATGTGTTTTAAACTTCTCTGCACCTGAAGCCTCAATCTGAGTGTGACGACTGAGCCAGGGTGAGCTCTCTACACTGCGTCTCTCCACTCCACAATCAGATAGCACTTTCAGCACCAAGCACTCAGTGCTGCCGAAGAATCAATCATTCCATCCTCACAGCGTCCTCCTGAGGCTGCCTATTGCTTTCCCCATCTCACATCTGAAGAAACAGAGGCACTGTGAGGTCAGTGACATGCTTAGGGTTACAGAACCTACTGATAGTGGAGCTGGGATTTGAACCCAGCTCTTCAGCCTATGCTAGGCTGCCTCTCCTAGCTCACACCTAAGTCCTAGCTTCACTTTCCAAAAAGAAAGGGCCTCCAGCTGCCCTCTCCATGCCTTCCATCCAAATGGAGGCCCTCCCACTGTGCCCACCGGCGTGCTCCGGGGTGAAGGCCCTGGCTTGCCATACCTCCGGGATGAGCTGGAAGAGGGCGTTGGAGTAGAGGGTTCCAATCGCTAGAGCTATGAAGTAGAGCAGCAGCCTCTTGTAAAAGGTCTTCTTCATGAAGGGCACCACGCTGGCCCCCATGAGGGAGCAGAGGGAGATGACGGTCACGCAGAGGAGACCGTATCCCCACACTGCCATGTGGTGGGAGAGCCAGCCCCACCCAGGGCAGGGAGAGAAGGCACACCCCCCATGGCACAGCAGCCACCATTTAGGGGGAAGAAGGTGGAGTGGATAGGGAGGTCACAAGGAAAGTTTGGTGGATATGAACGGAACAAAAAAGGAAAATCAGAGAGAGACAAGTAGGGAGGGAGAGAGAAATAGAAAATTTGTTAGTGATTCAAATCTCATGGAATTTCCTTCAGTCAGTTCAGAAGAAAGGAATTCAAGGCGGCCTTGGAACCCTGTGACTTCCGCCCCTGTGGCCACCGGTAGCCCCAAATCATTCCTGCCAGTGGTGTGACTGGCCGGGCAGGGTGCTGCCTCGTCACACACCTGAGGTCTGCCCAGGCCTGTCAGAGAGGCTGTTCGAGACTTTGAACTCGAGGGCTCTCTCTTTCATAGGACATGCGAGCATGTGGAAAGGGGGTGGTCACTCTGCTGCTGCGTTTGCTTCTACAAGTCCAATTCACATTGCACAGGCTTGTGTGACACCACGACCACCTGGTTTGCTTTGTATGAGATACAACCAAGCCAGATGTGCAGGGCAGAAGGGATGGGGGATGATTAACGCCCAACACCCATAAAATTCAGTGTCTTCACCTCTCAACTTCTTTGCTTATTTCCATATGCTCTGAGAGGGGCTCAAGCATAGAGAACAGTGTTCCAGGATCACCCTGTCACAAAAAGATTTCTTTGAACATTTCCCAGTGTGACACTCCGTCCAGGCCCAGAAGAGGGCAAGATAGAACCAGACCAGGATGAGACACTCCCTGGCAGGCCGCAGGGGCGGAGCACGTGCGATTACAGCATTTCCATTCAAACAGGTCCAAAGGGATTTCATTTCAAATCTTTAAAAAATTAACATAGTTCATTGCTGGAGCTGAAAAAGTAGCCCAAGTTGAGGCCTCTCCTGAAAAGTGCTTGTCATATCCACACAAAATTTTGAGATGGCACCAAGATGGTGGACATTCAACCAGGAAGAACGGGCAAGGCACAGCAAACCATCTGCTGTCTTTTCTTTTTTTTCTTTTGAGACAAAGTTTCACTCTTGTTACCCAAGCTGGAGTGCAGTGGTGTGATCTCGGCTCACTGCAACCGCTGCCTGCTAGGTTCAAGTGATTCTCCTGTCTCAGCCTCCCGAGTAGCTGGGATTACAGGTATGCACCACCATGCCTGGCTAATTTTGTATTTTTAGTAGACATGGGGTTTCTCCATGTTGGTCAGGCTGATCTCAAACTCCTGACCTCAGGTGATCTACCCGCCTCGGCCTCCCAAAGTGCTAGGATTACAGACGTGAGCCACCGTGCCCGGCCACTGCTGTCTTTTCTGGGTCTTTTGACTGGCAAAGCCTGAGAAGCTGCTGACATGGATCTCTGAGAAGGGCAGCATCCACCACTTCCTAAGGGGGTGGACCACACGTCCACGTATCCTCACCCCCAACAGCAGCATCCCTGCCTGAGCTAAAAAAGTGGACAGACTGTCAACTTGGGTCTTATTTTCATAGCTCCTCTGTGATAACAATTAAACAACAAAATTAACATTTCAAAACAGTGAAGTCAAGGTACCAGGAAGTCAGCCGTATCAGGAAAAAGTCAAGATGCAAGGTATGAAGGACTGAGGCCCCCTCTTCCATTTATCTTATTTTAATTTTGTTTGGTCTTGGTCTTTGTTCTGTGTTTGACACTCTATGCTAGAAATGATGGCCTTCTTAAAATTAAACAACACTCACTTTTTAGGCCAGTTCTACGTATTAGCTGGTAACCTCTTTTCCTTCAATCTCATTCCAGATGGATAAGCTCTTGGTGCCCAGACCTGAGTACTGCCAAGATTTCTCCTTAGAATAGAGTGAGCACTGGCCAGACTAGGTGGCTCATGCCTGTAATCCCAGCACTTTGGGAGGCCGAGGAGGGCAGATCACCTGAAGTCGGGAGTTTAAGACCAGCCTGACCAACATGGAGAAACCCCATAGCTTCTAAAAATACAAAATTAACCAGGCTTGGTGGTGCATGCCTGTAATCCCAGTTACTTGAGAGGCTGAGGCAGGAGAATTGCTTGAACCTGGGAGGCAGAGGTTGCAATGAGCCAAGATCACGCCACTGCACTCTAGCCTGGGCAACAGGAGTGAAACTCCAC